ACCGATCCTTACTGTGGGTTTTTGACCATCGCCGATTAAATGGACCAATCCAGTTTTTAACACCTTGCGCAACCGCCGCAGGTGCTTTCGACAGTGCCCTAGACACAAAGTCAAGTAAACGGTTTTTATCTCGACCAGACGCAAACTATTCCTCAACGATATTTTTATTTGACAGCATTTTGCTTAATGAAATTCAGTGGAACACATTTAACACCACGTAAGAACTGCACTACACTGAGCTACTGCCACGCAAGAAACAAGAGTAAACAAATAATTCTTTTGGATTGGGTTTCGATGACGACATTTTCGCGTCAAAGTGGTCTTCGTGGTCGAGTGGTTAGCGGCGTCACCCGTCTAACAGCTATTTTGCGTGTGCCATGGAGTGAGGGTTCGATTCCTGCTCCAGCCGGTGGATTTTTTTAAAGATATAATATATGCAATAATGACCCGATTTTATTATTTATTTATTTGAAAATATTTTCTAATATTCTACGAAACCCATGCGCTATTTCAATGGTTTTATTGCACCAAATTTTACCCTAAACATCGATCAAGAAGATTAATGGAAAAGATTTCAAATTATAGATATAGGAAATTACTGAACATTAAAAGAATAATGCGTGAAGGGACTGATAAAATCAGGTCATTACTGTAGTTTATATTTTAATAGATATTAAGAGACCAAACTTGCTTATATGTATAGGAAAAATCCCAATTTATTCACCTATGGTCTGACCCTATTTACACTCAATATGACTACCAATAATCTTATTTAAAAATTCTCACGTCATTTGATGTAGCACATGATTGATTTTAAAAAAGTCAAATCTGGCCACTTCCCCGGTGCACCCCGGAACATATCCGGATTCTGCAAATCTGGTTCAGGGTACTAGATATCATTGTTATTGAACTTGTTTTCGAATTCTGATGTAGTTTATTGTATCGCATGATGGGTTTTCAACTTACTCATAAGCTGGTTGTTTTCCCTGAGACACTAAGAACTTGTTCCGGCCGTATCTCCGGAATTGTATGACCAATTTTGAAACTTTTCCGTAGCGATCTATGTAATCATAATCCCGAGCAAAGTAAAATATCAAATTGATAACAAGTTCTATGACCCGGTCATCACTTTTTGATAATGTCCTGCAAAATACCTCAGCGGCGAAACCTGCCTAAACATGTTCAAGGAGTTACTGCGCATCGTTTTTGATCTATTTGGATGTATATAAGAAGCTCACGTGACGTTCTAGGTCATCCAAAGCATTCTGCAGTTTAGAACATTTGACAACCAAGGCCTGCACAATGTCCTTAGCGTCGAAACTTGCTCAAACATGTTCAAAGAGGTTCTGTACATCGCTCATGATCAGTTTTATGTATATATGATGCTCAAGGTTCACCAAATTGTCCTTGATCTCAGATCAAATAATGTACCAGGTCAGTCATAACCGGTACAAGGCCCTTACTGCCGTGAGATGACAAAGTGACGTAACGCCACCATGGTCAATTTTCACTTTTCTTCATATTCATAATCTATACCCTAAGATACACCAGAAAACACTCTCTTCGTGATAAAAATGTGTTTTGGAAGCCTGGAGACAAAGTGACGTAACCATACATTTTCGGAGAAAGAGTAATATGTTTTCACTGTTTCTACGGATAAGTGACGTCCACCGTATAAGAATGTTGAAAACTCAAAAGAAGTTTTAAACAGTGAGGTTCATATTTCCCGCTTAATTTTGACATTTTTAACAGAAAGAAATTTTTTTTGGCAAATTTTTATAATTATTGCAAGTTTATGCACCCAGGTCCATGACTATAATGCACATCATTTTCATTGTAATTGATGGTGTATGAGATGTTCTAGGTTCTCCAAGTTGCTTAGGAGTTTAGATTATTTTATCTACTGGCTCAACCATGAACTGCACGATGTCCTCAGCGACAAAACCTACAAAGACATGTTCATTAAGTTTCTGCGGATCGTTTTTGATTTATTTTGATTTATAATCAAGGTTCTCCAAATTGTCTTGAGCTCAGATCAAATGATTTACCTGATCAACCGTAACTGATACAAGGTCCTTAGGAACTAAACGTCTCCAAACAACATCAATTTAAGGTGTATCAGAAGTCCTAGGTTCTTCAAATTGTTCTAGAGGTCAGATTATTTGATCTACTGGTTCAACTAAAATCTGCACGATGATCTCACCGACGAAACTTTCCGAAACACGTTTATACAGTTTCTGCTGTTCGTTTATAGTTGATTTTGAGGTGTATAAGATACTCACGGTTCTCCAAATTGTCCTTGAGTTCAGATCAAATTCTCATCCAGGTTCACTGATTCACAGCCCTTCATCTCCAAACAGGGTTAAACATATCATGCACATTATTTACGTTTGAATTCGATATGTTTAAGACGTTCTAGGTTCACCAAATTGTCGTTAAAACTTGTTAATTAGGCTATCATCTCGCATTTTAGTTTGATTACATTCTTAGATCAGGGGGCCTCCATAAGCTCGATCGGTAGAGCCAGCGACTATAAAGCAAACCATGCTGGAGGTGGCTGGGTTCGGATCCCAGTTGGTCTAGGATTTCAGATTGGAAAATTTCTCGACTTCCCTGGGCATAGTATATTATTGTACTTGCCACACAATATGCACAAGTAAAAATCGAACAGGCTGGAAAGCTTTCAATTAACAACAGTGGAAGTGCATCTAGAGCACTAAGTTGAGAGCAGGCGTTAAGTTACAGTTGGGACGTAATAGCCAGAGAAGATCATAGATAGCACTAACTAGCGGAGGAATTCCGAATTATTGTGTTCATCATCCAACAGTGCTTGACCCCCTGATCAACTTTGCCGAAGAAATCATCCGTCTATATCATCGGTATCTTGAGATACAGCATTCATACAAAATAGGAGATTTTAGGGCAAAACTGTGAAAAACCCCAACTTACCCTATCGTGCCCAAGATGAAACCCACTCCAATCGATTTTAGAGACTTTTTTCTATAAGAATGACTATTTTTTAGTCTCTTGTTCCAGCGAGCACCGAAGTTATTGAATTTTAACACATTGCACTATGGGCAAAAATGGGTCAAAAATTACCCAAAATTCAATATCTCAACAGCACGCTGAATTCCGGCCATGAAAAACAACTTTTCCGAAAGGAAATCGTCCGGGGAATCGATTGCACGTAGTCCCATAGATCGGACAGCCTTGTAGGTATGTGTTTTGGACCATTTTACCCCATTTTTCCCTAGTTTTTGGAGGAAATGTTTTTTCACAGCTCTATTTTTCGTAAAACATAAGCACTTTATGCCTGATTTTAGAATACTATGTCTTTAAACAACAGTTCATGAGATATTAGGGGAATACGGGGTACACTTTATAGGGGAGTAAGGGGTAAAAGTGAACCCTCGCTAAATTTATTTTAATTCATAAAAATGTTGAACGATGCGATTGTTTGAATGACTCCAAACGACTGAGCATCTAGTGAAGAAGAGTGAAGTGAGCGTGGCCCTCGAATACGTAAAACATTGTCGAAGGTGTTTGCATTACGTTCTGACTGGTGTTGACCATCTAGTATATTAAAGTCTAAAATCAGATCAGTCATCAGGTACCGGTTCAAACGGAAGTTCTGGTTCTTCTAATGAAGAATTTTTCATCCTACTTCATTTATCCTTTGTGATTTCCTTGCCATAAATTTGGCTTTCATTCATTCCATCCATCCAGGATCCATCTTTTAAGTTCAATTTGTAAACAGAGTAATTGGTGATTTTGTTATACACTTGAAAAAGCCTAAAAAGCAACAATGTTTTATGTAGTTGAAGATACTTATTTCAAATAACAGACTGTAGTGGTAATTTTTATACGATAGATGGAGTAGATGAAAGCATAGAGTTGATAGTTCCGTTAGGTTACGGCAGTGTGAAGATTGCATATAGATATTAGAATAGCGAGCTAGAACAACTTTTAAGGAAGGTACAAATCGGTTTTTTCATCTCTCTTTACCAAACTCCCCCTTTGGAGAGGGATGGTGAGGGGTGTGTCCCCCCCCCGCCACCACTGGCAAAAAGAGATGGAAGGACACACTGCCGTAATCTAACGGAACTATCAACTCTATGCTTTCATCTACTCCATCTATCGTATAAAAATTACCACTACAGTCTGTTATTTGAAATTAGCATCTTCAACTATGTAAATCGTTGACTTCACGTAGAAGTAATACTAAAACATATAGTCAAATGTTTTATGGTTGATATTACAATGATAGAACACGTTTATAGAGTATTCAATCAAGACATTAATAAACAATTGCTAATAAAGTTTAATATTGAATTACACATCAGTTTTATGAAGGAATTGAGAGCTGCTTTAAATTTTATTTTTAAAACAAGACAGTTTTTGAGTTTTTCGCCATACTATAAAAAAAGTTTTGTAAACAACAACAGATTTTTTTACACTTCAAAATGCTGTATTTAAACTTAATGGATTGTTCATTGCCCTTATAAAACCATAATAAATCAGAGTGAATGCCAAATGGTCGCTGAATTGTTAATTGTGTCATTATTAGGTACAACAACATTGAACCCACATTTAATAGAACTGGTATCATCTTGTTCAGTGTTTAAATAATACTAGGTTGAAAGGAAAACGTTATCTTCGATTTGTGACGAACTAACCAAAGAAGAAGTGTTAAATCCAAGCCTGTTTTATATTGAGCTTTCATCAGTCCCAAAATTCCTAAAGCAATATGCGATAAGCTTCCATTGGAATTGTTTACTTATTTCACCATTTGAAATCTTTCCACATGCTCATTACGCACTCTGTCAAGCCTTCGCCATTTGAGTTCACACTCGAAACTTTCCCATCTGGCGGGCGTTACACACACACACACACACTTCATAGTTAATCCCCTTTTTGTCGCCGCAATCCCCCGTGCGTGGTATTATCCCCTGTTTACACATTGTTGAACCGGATCACTCTCTTTCTCTCTATACTTCTAGTTTGACACACCGGAATGGAAGCACGTCTCCTCGACCGCCAAGGACCTGGTGTTGAAAATGCTCGCACCGAATCCAATTAATAGGCCGACCATCTCGGAAATCCTCGAGCATCCATGGATAAGGGTAAGAAGTGGCAGTGTGTGGAACGCTACGCAGACCCAATTTAACTGTTTCTTCTTCTTTTCTTGTGGCCCTGTCGCCTGTCCATCTGCCGTGGTGGTAACCGAACACAGGACCGTGACAAACTTCAGCGAAACCATCTCGGTGACACGGTGGAAGAGCTGAAACGTTACAACGCTCGCCGCAAGCTGAAGGGAGCAGTGCAAGCGGTCGCCGGTGGGGTCGCCCTGGATCCACTCTGCTGTGCCGATACGGACTCAAGTAAGTTTCGTTGTATTTTATTAAGATTTTTTGTTTTGCCTTTCCACTTGGCCAAGCAAATCGGTTTTCGGCGATGACTCCCTGCTGTGGATGCTGCAGGACCTCTCTCTCTCTTCTCATTCTTTCTAACAAAGGACTCACGGTTGTTAGACTTGTCGCAGGTCGGACGTAAAGAGATTTTTCCGCACTTTCCGATACCGGCATCGTCGTCGACTGATAGCACCCCTTAGCCAGTTGGGTGTGCAGGGTGATAAAAACACACCTTCCAACGGATACGGGAAGGATTCGGACGAAAGTCACGCTCGCACTTTTTCTTTAAGACTCTCTTGAGAGTGTATTAAAAAGCATTATAGCCGGTCTTAAAGTGGAGTTAATAGTCGCCCGAAAGGGTCTTCTTTCCGTTCACGTGTCGGAAGCGGAAGGTTGCCCTAAGACGACCGTCGGAGGAGGTTATTTTCATCCTTATCCCACACAAAGTTTCTGCCCAGAGCACAACAAAAGCTTTTATTACCATTTGGTGGCACTTGTTGCGAACTTTAATTCAATCTCTCGCTCAGCACACCATTCGCCGTTCCAGTCTGGTTCGTGGGAAAAAAATCATCCATGGATGACGTTCCGAGTATTGAGCATTCCATTGTACGGGTCATGACTTTTTGATTTCATTTTTAACAGTCTCTTGGCTCGCTCTACCCGGGGGTGGACCGTCGTCATCGGTAGTATTCGATTGTTTTCTTTTTCCTTCTAAGAAGTATGACAGATTCATGTCGAGATTTCGGTGTCGTTGCTCGAATCGTAAGTTGATACAAGGGAGAAAAAGAAAACAGTTGGCAGGGAAAAGAACAGGAGACAGAGACTTTTATTTAAAATGATGATTACAGTCAAGTTCCTGGAATAATTGATTATCACAGATCAGGCGTTGAGGCAAAATGATTAGCAATTTCACTTTATGTTTATTGACAGTGAGGGATGCATACCTGGTAAAACTAGTAAAATGTGTTTTATAGAGCTTATCTCTATTGCGACACGAATGCACCAACTCGGTGTAAAGTGTCGTTAAATAAATAATAACAACATCAACAACTTTATTTCGCTTATGTTGTATGTGAGCATCAATGTTTTCATCAGCCAGGATTAAAAACAGGTGATTGTTTCAACAAATATATATAACCGTTTTGTGTTACATATTTGGAATCAATTTGTGAGAAAATCATTCAAGTGATTTGCTCACAAATTGATTTGTGATGTTAAAAAAATCGTGTTTTCAAGTGGTTATCAATGCGTTTGTCATACAATCTTCCTGCAGTCTTCCTGAACTGTTCCCACTTCACTCGAACATGGAGCATAAGGCTAGCTTTTTCTAAGTCCTTAAAGTTGTTTAGTTTACTAGACTTGAAGTGAACTAAATAAAAATCCTTAGAAATTCCGAAGCGCGAAACGCCAGGACGAGATTTCATTTTCATTTTGATTACTTTGAGTGGCTCAACTCCAAGTAATTTTGTCAATTCATCTTGGATCGGATCCACGGATTCACCACTGGGAAGACTTTTCAAGACAACCTTGAACAGACGTTCAGTTTTGGTGCCGTAAGTTAAAAATTTGTGTTGCTCCTCAGTAAGATACTTGAAAAGACGTTTGAATCCGTCGAAGGGTTTGGCCAATACACGGCATTCACCCCGACGGCCAATTTAAAGTGATAACTTTAATTTACCGAGATTCAAAAGTTTCGTGCGAAGAGTATGAAATTCGGAAGTGGTTATAACAATAGGGGGGACCTTTTCCTTCTTTGCATTTAGCCGGGAATGTTTAATGGAATTTTGCCTAGATGATGGATCATTCTCATCATCAGTGGGTATATAAAATTGATTGCTCAAATAAATTTCCTCAGAAGGGGGATCAAGGGATAGCCCTTTTCTTTTGCGTTTAGGTGCCATGGCGGCAGAAGTGAGTTTCTCCAAACCGACGTCCGATGGGTCGAAAAAGAATTTTACAATTCGATATCCAAGCAGGATTATCTTGGACAGGGTCCAAACAAGGATAGAAGAGGAATAAGAATAGAAAAAGGTTAAAACTTTGTAGGTAATATTCAGCACTGAAAAATGCTGTTTAAATTTGTTTTAGCTTTAGATAGCAGTAGCACTTCTTTCAGAAAATAAAAATAAAAGGGACAACCCTATGGGGTTGTACGCAATGGTGACGTAGGACTACGTGGTCTTATATAATAAATATTATTTGTTAACTTCAGCCTCCCTTAGCTCAGTCGGTAAAGGCGCAGCTACAAAGCAAGACCTTGCTGGAGGTGGCTGGGTTCGATTCCCGGTTCGGTCGAGGAATTTTTCGGGTTGGAAAATTTCTCGACTTCCCTGGACATAGACGTATGATTGGACTTGCCACACAATCATATCAATGCAAAAATGGTACAGGCATCGAAAGCTCTCAATTAATAACTGTGGAAGTGCATCTAGAACACTAAGTTGAGAGCACGCAATAAGCTAATATGCGATATGCAATAAGCTTGGAATGCAAAGAAGAAGAAGAAGAAGAAGTTAACTTCAGCAGGAGCTTGTGTTTTGTGTAGGAATAGGAATTTGAAAGGGGTTCTCTCTGTTTATACTCTTTCGTATAACGCGCTCGGTAGAGATGGCTCACAGCAACTCACGAAGAGCTACTGATTCCGATCAATAGCGGTGTGACTTCTTCCTCCTTCTATGGATGCTCATGTAAGCTGCAGCTCGCTGCTTGCAGGTAGCCTTTTATTGTGTACTGGAGGACAACAGACGCCACGTGCCGAAAGCACTGCTGCTGCTGCTGATGCCGACGACCGGACACCACCACACACGGTGATTGGAACTGAATCCGATCAGCGGTTGAGGCCAGTCTTGATTGCTAGCAGCTTGCGGGGAGCCTTTCGTTATGTACTGAAAAACACTACCAGTACGGTGATTGAATAAACACCGTTTGGTAAGACCGGATGGAATTCAACTTTGAAATCTGTGCTTGGGAAATCGCTTTTCGCAGGCAATCGGTAGTAATTTTAATTATCATAGCAACAGTTGCACATTTGTGCAATTTTCAATAGTGACATTTGAAAAACTGATGAAGTCTAAAATTTAACATATGCGTAGAAATATTTCTGATCGATTGGTGATAAAATTATTGAAATTGGGCCAGGGGCACCTGAGTTTTTACAAAGTGTACCTCCATATAGAAATCACAGACGAAGTTCTAAGGCAAAGGCACATATATACGCACGGCAAGAGAGCACGATTTGGACGGTTCTCCAACATGTTGCTTTCTCAGTTCATTCATTTTGAAGTTCCACTGCAATCCTCAATATTTCCCATTTCACTGTGAAGTTTCTTGTGAATTCGTCTGAAAGTTTCTTCCGGCTTCTCCGAAAGTCTCTTTCTCCTGGAAATTTGCCCACACCTTGCCCCTGAAGCGTCAACTGGTTTTGCCAGTTCTTCGTCCGGAAGCTTTCCTGACTTCACATTAAATATTTGTTCAACTGGCCTTCGAAGAATCTTTCAACTTTCCCAAAAGTTGTTCCAACTTTCTCCGCAAGTTTCATCCAGATTCCTCCTCCAGTAGTTTATTTCTGCTTTTCAGGATTTTTTAAAAGTTACGAGATTTCTTCTGGCTTTTTCGAATGACTCTTGCGACTTCACCTCGAAGTTTCTTCCTACTTCTCCAAAAGTCTTTCTGGTTTCCCGTGGAAGTGTCTTCCAATATCCATTTTTTTGGAAAAAAAAAATCCTGGGGTGTGCCAGTGGTGTAGTGGTAAGCGTGATTACCTCTCACCCCACCAGGCCTGGGTTCAATCCCAGTCGGCACTGCCGGGATGTTCTGAGGCATAACATCTCTGATCACTGGAAGTAAAGCCGTTGGTCCCCGGTTCATGAGTTGATGGGTCGATAGGAAGGGTCCAGGTGTGAGAGCTGCCTCCCTGGCGTCGCTAGTATTGGTGTCCAGCATGTAAAACAAGATTGACGAAAATCAAAATCAAGAAAAAAAAAAATTTAAAAAAAGCGAAAATTGATAGAAGGAATTTCTCGTTAAAATTTTTCCAATAGCGAGATATTCGCGATCAATCAAATAAGTTCGAGATTTTTTTGCTTTGTCTACCGTCCTGTAGAAAAGCTTACGAAGTGTTTCTGGTTAATTGACATGGTCATGTTGTTGTTGCTGGGTACATTATCAAAGAGCTTTGGGGGTGATGTGGCTGGCAGCAATGCGAGCGAACGTTCAATGAAAATTTACTCTAAAGGTGATTCCTTGTAGAGTCCAAAAAATGGCCACCACGTAGGCTACACACTTAAAAATAACTAATTTTACCCGTGACGTAATCCGTCTTTGACATAAAAGATGAGACGTAAACAAACATGTCATGTAAAATTAAGTGCTCCGAGACTGAAAAGTTCGTTGCTCGACGAAAAGTACGATTCATTGAGCTATATTTCGCGTCTGTTATGACTCAAATTTATGTCAAAATTTACGCTCGTATATGTCACTCTCAGAGCACCTAAATTTACATGATTTTTTCTTAGTGTGTATACATGCACTTCCACTTCAAATTATCAATTATACACATCTCGCAAATTAATGCCCCATTTCACCTAAAATTGTTACTTCATGTATGCTGCAGTCAGGGTGGCCAGACCTACCGATTTATCGGTAGTCCTACTGATTTTTGGGATGCCTACCGATTCACAGACAAAAGGTTAAAAACTACCGATTTTTCACTTTTCCTACCGAGAATCACAGATTTTTAGTAATCTTGAAAAATATTCAATATCTATGTGTTGTTGTCCTTGTAGTCAGAATTAGCATTCGAATTAAAAATTTTGATTTTTACACGTTTAAAGCAGAAGAACTGAAGCCCCCCCCATTCACAAAGGTTTCAAGTATCGGGAAATACTTCTGCAAACGGCCTACCGATAACTACAGATAAAAGTTTTGAGAAGCTACCGATAATGAATCAAATAATCTGGCCACCCTGGCTGCAGTACAGCAAACGTGGCGTAACAATGTCATTGTGGTTCGTATCGTACCGGGTGTTCAATAAAAAATGAGAATGATTTCAATACCTTTCTGTAATTAAAGTAAAGAGCATAAATTTTTTTCTCTCCAAGCGCATTGCTCTCTGGACTCCCTAAAAATGGGTGGCATGTTTCTTTTCGCTCGGGTTCTGTCAGTTCAATCGAAGATGGCGTCGAAACAGCAAGCACTCCGCGAGCGTGTTGTACGGTTTTACGAAACGCATGGTAATCGTGGAAAAAAGTTTACGGTAGACCACTTTCGAGACGAAAACGTGCCCGTGAGTACAGTTCACTGGATCCTGGCATCCCTGAGCGTGGAGCGGAAGGCCGGTAGCGGCCGTCCGGCGAAGATAATGCTCCCATACCTTGATTCACCGAACCCTCAAGATGGAGGGCATCATCTGTCGGAAGAAGACTCGGTCCCCCGAGTACACGGACGAGGCGATAGCAACCGTGAAATCGCAGTGCCTGTGGATGACGAAGAACTACCGCGGGACGTCGTCCGTGCTGGACGACGAAAGTTACTTTCCGATCTCGAAGCCCCACATTCCAGGAAATGACAGCTACTATTCCAGCGACAAGTCGGTCACACCCCCCGAAGTAAAATATAAGTTTAGGCATAAATTTGAAAAAAAAAGTTATGCTGTACATCGCCATATCGGACAGAGGGACCTTTGGTTCAAGCCGAGCGGTCTGGTCATCAATCAACAAGTGTACCAGGAGAAGTGTCTTGAGAAAATTCTTCTGCCGTTCTGAAAGGAGCATCATGCGTCTTCTGGCCGGACAACCCAAACAACACACATGTTCTATAACAGTTTATATAACCTTTGTATGACTCGGTTTGGTTCTATAGAAGTTTACTCAACATGATTCTATGAGTTTGTGTTACCTGGGAAGGCGTCTTCCCATTACGCCAAGAAGACGCTGGAGTATCTTGAGCAGAAAAAGATACAGTGCCGTCCCATTGAGGATTTTTTTGGCTCCCTCAGCCCCCTAGTGTACAAAAATAATTAGCGGGTCAAGGATACGAAGCAGTTGACCACGAGGATCCGGAATTGTATCCGGAAGATGGACGTCAGTGCCGTCCAGCGCTCTTGTGAGAGCATCGCGACTAATTTGCGTCGTACGGCTGACCAGGGCCCCTTCTCCAATATTCATTGAAGAATAAACATTATGTTTGTAATAAAAAATACTGAATTCGTTGATACATTTTTTTAACTAGCACATAACTGTCCCATGTTACTTTTGGACGTTTTTCACTTTTGTTCATAAAACAGTACTTTTATTGGTAAACTTTCGAATGAAAATAGAAAAACATGTTATTTGTTTTGGGTTTATATAAAAACAACATCAAGTCTAATTGTCCCATGTTGAAATTCTACGCATAACTGTCACACAAAGATTTTTTTACTGAATCTTTTATTAACGAATCGATTTGAGTGTACGAATGATTGTAACAGGATTTATATGATCAAAAGAAACTCAATAAGTCATTTCGGGAAGTAGAAGCTTTATTTTATGATGAAAAGTATTAAGAGAAACGGGAATTCATATTAAAACACCAGATTATAGTTCAGATTTCAAACTGTGCATTATTAGAGTAATAATAATCAATTGATAAGAAGCAGATAAGCCAAACCAAAAGACCAGATAAACCAAAGACAAAATAACATGATTTAAAATTCAATCGTTTGTAGCAACGATGTATAAACATCTTCCAATATTGGCATGATTGAAAAAATACGTTCATTTGGTTGAATTTAATGAAATCCTTACTGTGCATGTTAACTTTTCCAAAGTCTTTCTTGAAATCATCGATCGACAATCTTATTGTTTTCTGAGTTGAGGAATTATTAAAGAAGGATGTTTTATGTCAGAGTGAGGAATTGGAGCCTTTTCAAGAGAAATATGTTGTATTTCAAGTTGAAAAATACTTTTTTATGAAGTAAAAATGAAATTTATGTCGAAACACAAAATTATCATGTTATTTTTTTATTTCTTTAATAGAAGTTAAATTTAGTCAGTGATTTAACAATAAACGATAATAACAAACAATAACGATAAAAATCAACATATTTGGTAGTCAAACGATTCAAAGTTACTATGCATCGGAATCTTTCATCGTTGGCATATTTTTAAAAAAAGACTGCTTGTCTTCTGCAACAACCGGAAGTAGCACGGACAACAAGGATTTCTTGCGTTGTTCTTGTATTCCTCGAGGAGCTTTCTGCCACTTCAGGTACTCATCCAGCAAAAAGCTATCAGCTGCAACAATTTTTTGTTGTTTCTTTGATAAAAGGTTGCAGTAGGTCAGCTGAGTGCCGTTCACGGAATCCGAATATCCAACTTCATATCGATTTTTGGTGAATTTCATCATACGAATGTCCTCAATAAACGGCCGCGGATGTAGTTGATTCAGCGTATATTGAGTAACAGTCAGCTCCGTTTTGAAGAAATCCGTTTCCTTCATGTCCAGAACTTCAACTTTTTTTTTGGCGCTTCCAACGGCTTTCTTGAAATCATCGAAGTCCACTACACGACCATGTCGCATTGAACCTTCGACCGCAGCATGAAAACTGTCAGCTGCCATGAATGTATGGCCAGACTCAAAATATTTGAGTACAATCTCCTTAACATTAACATTCATCTTGTTAATGAGCAGAATAAGATGAAGAAAAAAAAATCCAATTTTTATTCTGCGCAGAACAGTTATCTAACCAGAACGTTAACTTCTCGAGATGGCCATAGTTAAGAATGAATTTATGGAAGCAACTGTTAATGTCAGAACTGCTACGACCGCTGACAGATTCTGGCCAGATGCAGGCAACAACTGGAAATGTTCGTGCAAATGCCCCGACAGGTGCAAATGTCTGGTTAAAAGCCAAAATTCGTTGGGAAAAAACAATCGTTTTTAGCCCGTCCAAGCGAGGCAATTGTATTACCTAAAAATTAAAAAGGTATAGCTTTTAGTCATAGAATAAAAAAATAATCTTAATACTAGTAACTACCTTCTGGAGGTCAACTGCCATTACCAATTGGCCTGCGGTGACTGTATCTCCATTCATGCGATATTCGATCCGTGCTTGCTTAGCGTGTTCTAGGTGCTTACTGTAGTCAGAACAGAGGATACAATCGTCGGTACATTCAGAATTGTTGACATTGACCTTTTTGTGCTGCTCCATGCTGACACAAACTTCGCACTCTTCGTGACCCAACTTAACGAAAGATATATTCATTTCGTTAAGGACTCGCGAGTAGAGTGAATAGCTAACTTGGCTAGTATGCGTATCTTGGTAATGCTTGTGCATTGCCCTTTGCGATAAATCTGATGGAAGATAGCGTCTGTTAGGAGCGTGCTCTCGACGGTAATGTGAAATCGTTGGCCCGTAACTCAAGATGTGAGCTATAATAGAATCACGTATATTCGAGTTCCTGGTATACTTTCCCCGTATTGTACGGCAAGGTTCGCTATTTTTGGACCTGTTGATGCGTCGATAGATAATATTACTGAAAAATTAAAAGACGTGGTTGCCTTACAATAACTACTATTCAGTTAATGTAATATATCAAATACATACCCACAGTGTTCTTCGTACCCGAGCGTATTCAGGAAAAACTTTCGACAAACTGCAATCGGGTCATCACTGGCCGAAGGAAGGGTGCATTTGTACGATTGGGTTTTACGCAATTCGTTCGCGGGAGTACGGCATTTGCGTCGCTTTTCTGCAATAGCGGGATGTACGTACTTTTGAATAAAGTTGCTCTGATCCACTTCTCTTAGGTTCCAGAACGACTCGTGAATACTCATCCTGTCATCTCGAGACAAAAGGTTGATGCACTGTTTCCGGCAATCACAGTTCTGCAGGATAGCATTGTGCGCCAACCTGCGCCTCTTCGCAGCATCTTCGCGTAAAATTTCTTTTTTAGTCCTTTTATTAGTTTTTTTTCGATTCGGTGAATTGAAAAAGTCATCAGAGTCTTGCGCAGCTTCCCCAGTATTTTCCACGGTAGATTTCGTCAAATCACCAGGAATCTTATCAAAAAACTGTTTCAGTTCATCTTTGTTGGTACTGAACTGCTCTCCAGTTGCACCATCCAGATCGAACCCGAAAAAACCACCACCTTCCGTTTCCACATCACTATCGTCACTTGCATACGATGCTTGTAGAAAAGCCAATGCACACATCTCCGGTTTCGAATGATCACGGCACGAATTATTAAAAAACTTCCAAAGTTTTGCCGATAATATCTGTACGCACGATTCCACCTCGTTACAAGACTTTAATACGAGCATAACGTCAAACGCAACGTTGTCATCAAAGCAACACAAAAAAGAACATGACGTAGTGGGACTGATATGCATAGAATTTCATGCTGCATGGCAAGTTTCTAGGCATAACAGTCCCACTGAATATTTACCGTTTAAAAATTAGCTTTAGTGAATGTAATTTTACAGTTTTCATTAAAACATAACAGTTATGTTCAAATGGGAGTAATATAATATTTTATAGTAATGTATATTACCTGCAATAAGCAAAACTCATTCGAAATTTGAATCGCGCTTTTCTCTTTTGAAACATTTGCAACATGGGACAGTTATGCGTAGAACGGCAGTATATGACTGAAAAAAATCTCATTTTTTATTGAACACCCGTTATATTAACGTCCCTTTAAACAAATACCTTGGTAGAGGCGATGCTAGTTCATTCGAGACTTCAGAACTTTCTGATCTCGAGGGTCGTTTACATCTTTCCACTCTTGTGTAGTATTTATGATCTTGCGTAGGAATGCATCAAGGTTGTTATGCCAGGATACATCCCATGTAGATCGTGAGATCTGCTTCACCTAGCGGGTAGCGTCACTAGTGACCTCTAGATGAGCAAGACGACCCTGGTTAGCTAGTTTGTCAGCAGCTTCATTCCCTGGTATACCTGCGTGTCCAGGTACCCATACAAACGTTATGTAAGCATACTGCTGTACCTCCAACAACCACGGGTGTCCAACCTGCCCATGCTCAAGGGCAGACAGACAACTCGCTGAATCAGAAAATAAAACAGTTAGATACCCATTTGCTAGAGAGCATAGGCCTTAGCTGAGAAGATACCACAGCGACCGGATAATCGGACGCAGCGGCTTATAGCGTCCCGAGATACCTTATAACCAACTTCCTCTTCGATTAATGAACCATAAAGCAAAGGTCTACCCTCGTATGAAGCAGCAACCTCCCTGTATGCAGCTTTCGTTACAACAGAGCTAGCCCCTGCCCCACACATAACTTTAACCATCCAGTCAACTTTCGGGGTATTAGCACCCCAAGCCCGTTGCCACAGCCTAACACGCTGACACAACGAGGGAAAATCTACACACATAGAAATAACTAATTTCACACGTAACGGAATCTGTCTTTGACATAAAAGATGAGACGTAAACAAACATGTCATGTAATATTAAGTGCTCCGAGACTGAAAATTCGCTACTCGACGACAAGCACGTTTGATTGAGCTGTATTTTGCGTCTGTTATGACTCAAATTTATAACAAAATTGACGCTTGTATATGCCACGCTCAGAGCATTTAAATTTACATGATTTTTTTCTAAGTGTGTACTCCCGTGGGCTTGTCATTGAGGATGGGATCCCTTTCAACCGATCTTATGGCCTTTATGGCCAGGTCCTCGGTAACAATGTTTATCAAAGGTACCTTACCGTTATCCACCAATAGAGAAGCTATTGGTGAAGACCTCAACGCTTTACTACAGATTCTATCTGCCTCATTGTATTGAGGTTCTAGAATCTTGAGCAGGGAAACACCGCCCCTACTCTACAACTCCGCTCCATAAAGGATGCTAGGAACAACCAATGAACAGTGGTCCAGAATGCAGATTGAGGTGGAATGATATGTTTTGAGCCTGAATTTGAAACTTTAGACTAAAAGTCTCTTCTACAAAGTTGTTCCTTATAGTTATGCCCTCATTTTTATGACAATGAATTCTAGGGTGGTTCCTATTATCATTAAAATCAAAAATCTAACTTATTTGTTTGAATAAATTAAGGTATACATTCTTGAGCAAAGTTATAGCTGAGCTAATTTAAAGCAACTTTGTAGAAAGCAACTTTTTTGTATCTCTTAAATTGGCCGATTTAGAGCTAATTTCTTGAATTGAGTTAGGGTGGCTCTAAAAAAAACAGTTGTTTTGCTCTAGTTTTCTTATTTCGAATTCGGTAGATTGCGGAACAGAGACCGACGTTAAATAAATGAAAGAATTACCAGTTACCTGAAGACAAGGATAGTAAGTTTTATGAATAAGACTAGCATACTTGGGGACAAACCATGAGAATCTCGGTAAGGAATCCCCAGGCCTATAGAAGAAAAATCCTAGGCTTCGAACAGTAGAAAAAAATTACACTTTTTTGAACCTATGAAACTAGTACTCCTATACAGGGTGACTGGTAATTCGTGTTACGCCCGAAAGGAGGTGAAAGTAGACCACATTTGCAGGAAAAAATGTTAAGGAAAGGTAGGTCGAAAAATAATTCCTTACCTAGTTATTGATCCATTTATTTTAAATTGCCGAGCAACACTACCACTTTTTGCTCGGGCACTAGCGAATATTACCAAATCCCACCAGGGAGTAAGCATTGCTTGGCTACTATGATTAAAATTTGTTTACTAACCACTCTATTCAATTGGCGTCACAAGCTTACTTTCGGATGGATTTGATCAGGTTCTAACCATTTAATGTTTGATGATTTTTTTTTGATTGCCTATGAATTCCCGAGTAAAATGAGGCCCTTTGAATCAGTTGAAAATTAATTACTTAATAACTCAGAATGATTTTTCGACCTACCTTGCTATACAAATTTTGTGCAAATTTACTATAAGTAAATTGGTACGCACAAAAAGACCTTTAATTCGTGATTCAATAAGTTTAAAAGTCCATTAATGGTTGCTTTACAGTACTTTTAATAAAACTTCAAAGCTACAGCATTAGATGGTTACATTTCTCCAGTTCGAACGAAATCTCGAACCTTCCTCTTGATGGAGCCATGAAACGGACACAGAATCAACGCATTTCTTCCATTTTGCTAACATTTGCTGGATGTCCTTGACTGCCCCGCCGCTTCTTCAAAGTTGCTGCTTTGAAATTGCCCAGAATTTTTCGATTGCTCGAAATTCCGGGCAATTCGGAGGATTCATTAGCTTGGGGACAAAATCGATCTTGTTGGCAGCATACCACTCCAGAACCACCTTGGAGTAGTGACAGCTGGCCAAATTTGCCCCTATGCTTGCGGATGAACGGCAATACACGCTTTTTCAGGCATTCTTCGATGTAAACTTGGGATGTCATCGTCGCGAATGTGACGAATGGTTTCATTTTCAGGCCACAACTGCAAATCGCTTGACAAATCATGGCCTTCTTCACGAACTTGTCGGCAAACATGAACTTGAATCTTCCCGGCTCATTCTCACGTCCAGTCGCGATGTAAAACTTTTGACTGGGAACCTGCTCAAAATCGAGTTTGACGTATGGTCGTACAAGAGACTTGCACGTTTTTTGGCCACGGAATTCTGCTTAATGTGCCGGTTCGGATGTTTACTGGCTTTGTATGACTTGTATCCTTCCCTGGCAAGGATGTTCCGCACCGTTTGAAAGTTGACGTTGTACCTTCTGGCCACATCTCAGATCAAAAGACCGGGGTTGGCTTTAACGCACCTCAACACCTTTCTGCGCAGCTGACGATCTCTGGTTCCAGTTTTTTCGTAGGTCCGCTGATTCCTTTTCACACTCAGGGTTTCCGTGTAGGTTTTGAGCACTCGACAAACTGTTGTTTTCGGCATCTTCAGCACTTAAGCCAGCTTGAGACCGAGTTTAGAGATGAACTAGCCTAAGGCTAAAAATCTCTTAAATAAAGAATTAAAAAAAAAAGCTTGAGACCGAACCATTCCGGATTTTCCATGTGTTTGTGCACAATACTGTTTCTTCTTTTGAGTTCCATTTGACGTTATTTCTGAACGCGATCGACTACTTTGATCAAACTTTCACCAGTTGTTATCTATAGAAGTGTGAACAAACCACTGTCAAATATTTTCGATTCCCCACACTAGAGACATGCTAGCGGCGCGGGAGGGGTGCACCAATTTACTTTTAGTCAACCTTTACATTGGCTCGAAGCGTTAGTCATTGCGTGTGATGATAAATGATACAAACAGACACTGAGGTACAAATGCTGACACTTCACCAACCTTATTGTAGGAATAATCTACACAAAGTCGGGGATACATCCCGGTAAAGTGTGTAAAATTTATTTATTTGAAAGGCTTAATCCCGTTAGCTTTACGGAGTCGAAGTTTAATTGATTGTAGTTAAACAAGAATAACTTTATTCTACGTCTAGTACGGGTGGGCCGATTACTGGTGGTTTACTCGAGGTTAGAAAGGCCAACATTTTTGTGGGAAGGATCTGTTGAGGAGCATGGAAATGGGGAATTCAATGTTTATGCTAGACATTTGAAGAAACACATAAATCGATTTTGTGGAAGAATTTGTGTAGCTTGGAGCACGCGATAATGATGTTACCCGCTATCATACCCGAGGTGAAGAAATTTATTGTCTCTCCAAATAGAACGTTTTACGTATTGCTTATTCAGATGAAGTCCCGTAGCTCACAGACGGAATCTTAGTTCGCTTTGAATAACAAGTTGATACTACCGGTAGCTCTCTATGTATACGAAGCATCGAAGTTGAAGTAGTTATCGAAATTATCTAAATATTCAAATATTTTATAATTTTTCACAAATAAATATTACCAACATTAGTAGATATTTCTGATACATATATTTCCAAAATTTGGGTATTCGAATCTTTGATTCTGACAGCTAAATATCCATTTCAAACCAACCATGAAGTCTTTGAACTTGTTTTTCATGTTTGTTAATATTGCTTTCAGGAATGGACATTTGTATAATAAAATATGCTCACACTTATATAATCAAACATGATTTCAGACATAAAAATCCACAGCATTCAAGACTGGTTTTCTTAGGATTATTTTTACCTCAGGACTCAGATGATTTTTTAAAATAAATTTCGAGGCGGTAGCCCTCTAGCAAATGTATGGAAATTATTAAAAAAAAACTTGTATTTTGTTATTTTTCTGTATTCTGTTTGCATTGATTCAAATTCGATTATTACGAAGCTTATTAGTTTTAGGTAAACAACAGTTAATTTAACCGTAATTAGACCTAGTGCTTAATATCTTATAATTTAAATGTTATTCAGAACTCATTCGTTCACATTCGATTGCTACACAATGTCACGCTACAATTCATGTATCGGTTGTTTTCGACTCTATCACAAACCACTCACTACTATTCGACACAACTTACCACTCCGGACACATTTCACGACTGTTCACAATTTCCCAACCCCAACCCCACCCCAGAACCGAAATTTCTTCTCTCGCCTATTGTTTCTATCGTTTCTTTCCCCGTTTGTTTCCCCCCGTTTTCATTCCAGTGGCGATCGGGACCGCATCCGAGAGCCTGAACGAATGGGCCGACGAAGAAGCCGGCCTGGAGGCCATTCAGAAGGTTCTCGACTCATTAGACGACATTACCGCTTTGCAAGACGCCAATTGCGATCCGGAAGTGCTGGCCAGCATGCTGCGCGACATCAAACTGCACGAGTTGCTCCAGGTAATGCTTAATCAGGCACTCATCCCCCCTTCGTCCACGGAACCCCTACATTTTTCACCCCATGCATTCATTCAACTCAACATCATCTTATCTCTTTTTTCTTGTTTCTCGTTTTTCTTTTTGGTTCGCTGGAAAAACCCGTTCTATCTATTGAAACATAAATGCGCACACCCCAAAAACTCAAAAACTATCAGCTTTACGATAGAGTTAGTAGTTCCGTTATCAATCCGTTGCGGGCTCCACCCGGCGATGCCATCAGTCGCTGCCGGGACACAATCGATGCCATCAGTTCGGCCCCGGGCCACAAGTTCGGCCGGGAGAAGGCCGAACTCATCAACCTGCTGGGATCGCCACACATACAGGTGAGTTGCTGCTTTACCGGACCGGAATTGCCGTTCCGAGCATGGCTTCTAATATTAACGTTTATAGGTTGTTGTGTTTATTTTGAATCTTCCTTACCGATGTTCGTTGGAGCCGAAGCGAAAAGCTCCTTTTTCCCCCAATAGGTGGCACCGAGAAGCAGGCTTGAAAGCTTGAGCTTGCGCACTCGGGAGCAAGCCTTTTTCCGGAACAATCGGTAAACAGGCGGTGAAAAGGGAGTACATGGGACGGAACTTTCCATTCGGATTTTATCCAGACTGATCTAGATATCTTTTGGGGGGTGAGCTTTGGCCTCGGGATGGGGAAGCTTTTCGTTGGGAAAGGGATTATTGCAAAAGGAATGGGGTGAATTATAGAATATTTTCGATGTATGGTGGGCTAGACGAGATTATTTTGCATAGAGACTAGAGAGGCAGTTGGAAACGAATGTTTTGGTCCAAGAATTAACAAATATCATTATATTAGCTACGATATAAACGCATATCCTGTGAATTAGTACCCTCACCGAAACCGGGCATGCATTTCTTGTCCGGAAATTCCTGTCTATTTTAGTTACTCTCATCTCTTTTCCAAGCCATCATCTGCCTTCACCAGATACGAACAGCCAAAAGAGTCTAAGAAGAGTTCTTTGCAGAAAAGCACAAAGTTTTAAATTTAATATTAATATTATCTTGCAGTTCTGGAAAACAAAACATATATAGAACCGGAATGCAAAAAAAAACAAATCCCCGTTGAAATTGTTCCAATTTAATAAATACAACTTCCCCCAACACTCTCCACCGCTGAAAATGATATAGCTTTCGTTATATGCTATTTAAAGCTTTAAAATCCATCTTCTTTTTTCCTGCGTGGGCAGCGTTGCGATGCAGTTTTCATCAATTTTCCACTTCAGTGGCTTTTCCGCTTTGAGTGGCAAATTTTATGCTGAACTTGTAGGTAGCGGAGAAGATGGCGCTGAACTGCCGCCAGCCAGCGGCAGCCTGACAAAAGCTAGCTGGATATTTTTCGACGTTGTCTCCCCTCATAATAGTTTCACTCATTTTCCGCGTGCTTTGCCACCGGGCTTCCGCAATTCGCGATTTTTGTTTGTTTGCATTCATGCTTCTTTGCTCTGCTGTTGGGGGAAGCTGTCTCGGCTCTTCTCATGGAGGGTAAGGCGCTGTTCTTTTTTCATTTTCAGATGAATTTGGTCAGGAACAGCAGTTTTAATGCATTGAAATTTGTTATCATTTCTGGGTCCGTTTTAAATTATTCTGATTTGATCTTCTGCTGTAGGAAAGTTAATTTATTTTAGAAACGCCAAAATGCTCGCATCACGGCATTATGGTCGGAAAACGCACAACATATACACGTAAACCCCAAAATGGCACTAAAATCTTCAAATGACCGAAAAACAGGATTCGGTTTGTCCGGAGAATCAGGATGTGGTCTAATTAGCAAAAAATATAAGTTGCATGGTAAATACTGCCCACAATCGCATATCAGTCCCGTATGGATAGGAAATCAAGCAAAGATGGGACTGATATGCGATTATGGGTAGAATAGGCATGATCTAGTGATTTTGAACACGATAGAAAGATTTGCAAGGTTTTAGGACAGTTAACAGGAAGTGACAGCTATTTCGGACTAAATTATCTGCACGTCCAGAACAGCGTTCCCAGATATATCAATTTATCGGTATTTATACCGATCTTCAAACTTTGTACCGATATACAGATAAGTTTTCTCAGAATACCGATTTATACCGTTTTTTTTAAATTATCAAAATAATTACTGCCTGCCCGCACTGAACTGTCAGAGGAAATTATTGTGAGAAACTTTTATTTTTTTTTGAACATTAAAATTTTTGAGCCTGCTCTATAACAAAATCTTCTTTAAAAATGTCGTATGCTTGATACTCTTTTGCTTTTATTCGAACTTCACCATCAAGCCGTCGGTCGAAAAACTTAATGGTTTTTGTCGGTCGATTCTCGGTTTGAAAAGGGAAGATATCAAAAGACTACAGTGCCTTAGAGGTGGAGCATGTGCGTTTATCAAAGTCTATGACTTGACGCTTGCACAAAAAGTTGTTAACGAACATGGTGGAATACATGAAGTGGAGTGTGAGGGGAAGAAACACAAGCTTCAGATTACGTTGGAAAACGGTAGTGTTGAGGTGGAGGTTTACGACCTCCCCGAAATAGTAACTGAAGAGAAGGTCGTACAATTCCTAAGCGCGTTCGGTGAAGTAATCTCGATTCGCAAGGTATCGTGGAGTGAAGAAGCAAACTGGAGTGACGAAGAAAACTGGACAGAGTTATAGGTGAACAACCGGTCATCAATCGGAAAAAACCAGCTGGTGCGAAACCACCAAGCACGAAACCGTTTGGTCAAAAATCGACCGCTCCACTAGCGGTATCGTTGGACGTTTATCCCGAACTGCCGAAACGCATGAGCCAGCCTGCCTACAGTGGGTGCTGTGTCGTCATGCCCACAAACAGCACCCCATTCGTTGCCATCATTCCTAAATCCACCGGAAGCTGTCGTGTCGTTGGTCGATGTTTAAAAAAAAAAAAAAAAACAGAAAATGCACCGTGATCGCAGAGCAAAAGCGGCAACGGGAACACATCCACGAACAGCAGACGAAGCAGAGGACGTGCAGCGGGCAAAAACCTCGACGGGACGACGATGATATGGAGAAGAATGAGGATTCCCACCCATAAATGGCTCTCACGTCGTATAATATTTGATCGATCAACATCGGCACCATCCCGAGTCCAACAAAACTGAACGCGCTACGAAACTTCATCAGCAGTCAAAGCCTCGATATTGTGTGCCTGCAAAAAGTAGAAAACGAACAGCTCTCCTTGCCTGGCTTCGTCATTTTCTCAAGAGAAGAGGAACGGCCATTGCACCGATCGAACATATCCAGGTCTCTCACGTTGAGAAAAGTCTGCTAGCTCTGAGAGTGCAAGACACGACAATTGTACGCTCCCTCCATCTCCTCGCAACGTGCAACTCAGGAGGATTTCTTCAATGTGAACGCTGGCTAACCACCTCCGTCATCGCACTATAGGTATGTCATCCTGGCCGGCGATTCAATTGCGTGCTTCGTGCATGCGATTCGAGTAGCCCGAACACGAGCCCCTGCAACAATTGCAGCTTCACGACGTGTGGGAAAAACTGTGTCCACGCGAGACAGGATTCAAGTCCGTCACTTGGAACGCACAATCACGTCTCGATCGCATCTACGTGAGCGGTGAACTGCAACAACACCTTCGAGCAGCACACAAGCACGTGTGCTCATTCATCGACCACATGACCACCGACCATTTGCCTTCCCCATCTTGGACAGGCGCCTGGCCGTGGGTTCTGGCCTCTTCGGTCTCACCTTCTGACGGACGAAAACGTTACGGAGTTCCAAAAACAGTAGCAATTTTGGACCCGGCAACGCAGAAGTTATGAATCGTGGATTCAATGATGGCTTACATACGCTAAGCCTTAAATAAAAAGCTTTTTCAAATGGAAATCTCGTTTTGTGTTCGAAGAATTCTATAACGAACATCTGAACATCTCTATACGGAACTACGGCAAGCATATGACGGCTATTACCAGCACCCAGAAATGTTGACCACCATCCATAGGCTGAAGGGCGAGATGTTGGCGCTTCAACGAAATTTCTCCCAATCATTCATGAGGCGGGAGAACCCATGTCTATACTTCAACTGGGTTAAGGAGGAAAACCATCATCATGCAGCTGAAGACAGAGCAGCACGAAACTATTGCCCACAAGTGATCGAAACGCACATGGTCAATTACTTCTCGACCCTCTACTCGGAAGAAGCAAGCGCACCGCAGAACCAAAGTAACAATTTTGGTTTTATGAGGGTTCTGTAGACCATGATTTAGACTTGTAGAAAGCTATAAAACCGCGATAAAACCTGCAATGTTACTTGGGAAGTCTCCCGGCTACGATGGTATCCCGAGGGAGTTTTACCACCATATGTTCGATGTCATCCACCGAGACCTAAATCTGTTGCTAAATGAAGCACTCACCGGTAACCTTTCCGCTGCGTTTGTGGAAGGCATCATCAAGCTGGTAAAGAAAAAGGGTAGTGACAACACAGCCCGATCGTATCGTGCGATCTCGCTTCTCAACAGCAACTACAAGCTCTTCTCCCGCATCCTCAAAACCAGACTGGAGCGAGTGATGAGAACCCACAATGTTTTGAGCAACGCACAAAAATCTCACAGACTCTCGCGTATTGCTAGCTGATCTACATCTCGTCTGCTGATCAATGGGCACCTGGGTCCAATGTGTAACGGCGAACTTGTAATTGTAAATTGCTGAGAAATAATTTTTCAAAACATTACCAATTTTTTGTTACACATTTTACCGGTTGCATCGTGTTCGGAGTGTTAAGAAGCATCATAGAGAATATTTTATAAGCTTCTTTTAGATGCTCGCCCATCACCGCTTACGGTGATTGAATGAGCACCGTTCAGTGGGACCGCGTCCAATTCGATTTTTAAGTCTGTGTTAGGGAATGTGCTGTTTTCAGACATTCGGTGATAATTTTGATCACCATTGCAACAGTTGGACATTTGGTATTTTTCAATAGTGACCTATTGAAAATTAACTAAGTGTTAATTTTAGCAGATTGGTAGATAAATTTCCAATCGTTTGGCTTGTTTAGAATTAAAATCTATCTGCTATTGGTCGAAACATGACCTCTTTTCGTAATGCTGTGCATTTTTGTTTTTTGAAATTGCGTGGATTCTATAGATCCTGCGTGGAGATCTATCTAGCCCTGATGTATGTGTTGGTAGAGGGAAAAATGTAAACTTTGCGGGAGACGATGTCTTAACACTCGAAAGCAATTTTGTGAAATATGAAGTAAAACAAATCCTAGCTAGTTCTGCATGATGATTTTGTTTGATTTTATTTATTTGTAAAGTCGCCGGGAAATACCCGCTGGCGATTTGTTTTTTTTAATGATAA